GGCTTTAGCAGTGGAAAGCACTTGAATACAAGGTGAACTTCATGTTGCACTCAGTTGAGGTACTTTCTGCTTTAATAAAGAATATTGCTCTAACTTGTGTATGAGTCTTTACCTGGGGGTAAATACTTCAGTTGCAGCTGGAGATCACAGAGTTAAAATCAGTAATGAATATGCTGAAGTAATTTAAGACATAAGAAGTACATCTTTGGAATTAATGCAAAGCATTAAACAAACTGTATTTTTATACAGATGAACATGCTTCAAGCAAAATGGATTTAAGTATAATTTTTCAAACAAATCAATGCCAAAAGCGAAAGTTTATTTAAACAAAGGTCCTTGCTGGTATAACTCTCTTAAAGCTGGTTCAATGCTTGTTTCAAGTAAACAGCTGTAACAGCACAGGCAGGCTTCCCTTTTGAACTTCATAGTTTGCTCTGCTGAACAGTAAACTTGTCTTGCTCAAGAATATATGGAGGCTTGGGTTCCATCTAATACCTGGTGTCCGATATGCTGAAAGAAAAACTTTTTCAAATAGTTCAAAAACTATTTTCAAATACAAGACAAAACCAAATTACTACTGCTGCATTTTGAAAAAATGACTTCTGTATGCAAACTACTAACACACGCATCCTGTGAGAAAACATAAACTAACCTGAACTCCATTTGATTCTAAATGGAGTCTAAAACTATTTCCCAGGAAGTTGAGATAAGCCACATACTGTTGTATGTAAAGTAGACAGCAGCTATAACCACTACAAGACTGAAAACGTACCACATTATAACTTTTGAGTTTCCTTTAGTTTTATGGGGGACTACGAACACTTTCCTAATGAGACAGTTGTGTTGTAGGAAGGAAGGGGAATAGAATCATAGAACCATTTAGGTTGGAAAGGATCTTTAAGAACATCAAGTCCAGCTGTTAAGCTAGCACTGCCAAGTCCACCACTAAACCATGTCCCTAAGTGCCACATCTACGTGTCTTTTAAATACCTCCAGGGATGGTGACTCAACCGCTTCCTTGGGCAGCCTGTTCCAATGCTTGACTACCCTTTCCGTGAAGAAATTTCGCCTGATATCCAATCTGAACTTCCCCTGATGCAACTTGAGGCCATTTCCTCTTGTCCTATTGCTAACTACTTGGGAGAAGAGACCAACACCCACCTCACTACAACCTCCCCTCAGCCTCCTCTTCTCCAGACTAAAGAACCCCAGTTCCCTCAGCTGCTCCTCCTAAGACCTGTGCTCCAGACCCTTCACCAGCTTCATTGCCCTTCTCTGGACATGCTCCAGCAACTCAATGGCCTTCTTGTACTGAGGGGCCCAAAACTGGACACAGTATTTGAGGTGCAGCCTCACCAGTGCAGAGTACAGGGGATGATCACTTCCCTAGTCACTATTCCCAAGCCAACTATTACTGCAATTGAGACGACTAAAATTAACAGCCTAGAAATTTACTTGGTGCTCTGTATTTTAAGCAAAAGTCAGTACGGTACCATAGAAGAAAGCATAAAATACTGTGGTGCGTTGACCTTGGCTGGACACCAGGTGCCACCAAGCTGCTCTATCACTCCCCTCAGCAGGATGTGGGGACAGCGGTGGGGAGAAAATGAGATGGGGAAAAAGCCCTCATGGGTCAAGGTAAAGGAGCAAAGGCCGCACACAGAAGCAAAAGGAAAACAGAGATTTTATTCTCTACTTCCCATCGTCAGGAAATAACCAGCCACTTCCTGGGAAGCAGGGCTTCAGTATGCTTAGCGGTTGCTCCAGAAGACAAACATCCTAAATAACAAATGACCCCCCCTTCCTCCTCCTTCCCCTTCACTTTTATTGCTGAGTGGGTGTCATAAGATACAGAATATCCCTTTGGCCAGTTTGGGTCAGCTATCCTGGCTGTGTCCCCTCCCAAGATCTTGCCCACCCCCAGCCTACTGGTGAGGGGGGAAAGTTGGCAAGACTGCAGAGCACTGCTCAGCAGTAGCCAAAACACTGGTGTGTTATCAACACCTTTCTAGCTACCAATATAAAGCACAGCACTATGAGGGCTGCTATGGGGAAGATTAACTCCATCTCAGCCAGGCCCAATACAAATACCTTAACCGAGTTACTCTATTATTCCTTAAAGATGGAATTTACATGTTGTAGTTTTCAGAGATTTGCTAATCCAGATTTCTAGTGCCATCAGCTAGCTAATCTGTGTTTTGGATTTATTGAGAAGTGACTTCAGTTCATGATACCAACTATGAAGGGAGGCAGCAGCAGTGATTCCATAGTCATGATGCTCCCTGAAGTTTAAACAAAACAAAGACATTTAATGCTGAAAGTTTTCCCCTCCCTGGCTGAGGGTGGCAAGGAGGGAGATGAAAGTTTTTTGCCTTGCTTTGTAGTCCTTCACAGATATCATATACTTTGGCTTTTTGGATGCATAAAATTTTGAAGGCATGCTGGAACTAGTGTATTTAATTCTCATGCTGGCTAATTGTAACATTTAAATATTTAATCAGAGCATGAGGATTAGCTTTGGTAAAGAACGTAAGCACAGCAACCATCTTTCAAGCACTTTGCTGCCTGCACAGGTCTATAGCTCTCTCCAGGGATTTGTGTCCGCTCCACAGATAGGAAGTTACTCTAGGAAAGAAATCATAGATGTTTCAGAAGACTGGTGGGAAAGGTGGTAGAGTGAGCCTTAAGTTTGCCCATCTTTGTGAAACCGTCTACTAGGTTTTGAGGAGTCTTACCTGTTAGCTGTTCATAGCAAACCTAATGCACAGGCAGGTTCAACTTTGGAAACAACAGAAGAGCCTCTCCTGTTGAGCTGTTGACAGTGGTACCCACACTGATAATACCCTTTAGTTAAGTACCTGCTTAGGAAGCGAGAGTGAGTTGCCAGGATTTCCACCTCCTGAGTAACTGTCCTATTGTGCGGGTGCAGGCTGGGGCACCTTCAAGATTCACATCCTCTTGATGCTGTAATACTTCAGCAAAGCACTTGAGGTGAAGATCACGGCTAGCCAAAAGGTTTGAGCACTCAATAGGGACACAAGAGACCATGCTGGACTACACAGCTGTTGGGTAGCGCGCACAGGTTCATGAACACGACTCTCTAGGAACTGCCCCAACACTTAGGCTCAGCTGCTGCTTCCCTCACACTCTCTGGCCCTGAAAGTTTCCTCTCAGCTACAGCACTGCACAGCTTCTACAGGAGCACGACTCTGCCCTCCATCCCCTCAGTTAACATGCAGCGTGAGCCAGAAAGCAGGAAAGTTCACCCCTCAGATTCAGAAGCAAATGGCACTGTTTTCCCAGAAGACAGCACAAGAGTGGCCACGCTCCTTTCCTTCATGTGCAGTTACCCCAAGATTAGGGCAGAAAGCCAGGCTGCAGGAAACCCAGGTCCAAGTCTGTCTTCTACCTGGACATACTTGGTCCCATTGTGGCCTCAACGGTTTCCCAAACAATAGTACTGGGGGAGGATTTGCCTTCTGATCTCAGAGAAGAGAGGAGAAAAGGCCTGCCTACCATTTCTTCTACTTGCATTTTTTTGAGGGGAGGGAAGGCAGAGAACATGAGCATATCATTCACCTAGCATTCAAGACTACCTGTCCAGATTCGGGAGAGCTGGGCCATGATCATTTCTCAGCAAGGAAGTACCTTAGCCAGCAGGACAGCTATGCCCTGCTGTATCACCTCATGCTAGGCAGGAGCTGAGTGACGATCGCCAAGGCTCTGCCTTTAGAGCCAAAGCAGAACATACCGAGCCCCTTGGTGAACCTCCTCCTCGTCCCAGTGGGCTCCTATGCGAATGCCCAGGTGGGAAGTCACCTTCCTGCCTTTTGGGAGCTGAGAACTTAAGTCTTCAATAGAGCTGAGATTAAATCCTTGTTACCTCAGATATCTCTACCATTGATTATATTTTCAGGCACTTAAGTCTGCTCAGGCCTCACACAGGGAGTCACAGCTCCCTCTGCACCTTTCTCTTGTGACTGCTACTAGCAGACAGATATCAGAGTGGCCAAAGCTGTAAAGCCCAACTGCACCATTACATGTCTGAAAGATCTCCTTTGAAGCCCTTTTAGATTCAGGAGGTCCAGAGCTGCCGCACACCCAGGGGTCAGACAAATCACGTTCAATCCCTTCCTTTGTTTGAAGGAGGTTGAATGCTTTAATCACAGAGCTATACACTGTCTCTAGGGCAAAATCCTCTCACCACAATTCAATGAGAAAAAGAAACCAAACCACAAACCATTCACACATTGGAAAAGGAGTGGGAAGAAAGGAAAAGCGCACTGCTATAAGGAGGTGGGTAGGGCTAGCAGTTATGAAGAACAGACAAATTTATCTTCGTCTAAATTGATGTTTTCAGGTACAGAATGCAACTTTCAGCAAAATCTGCTGTCAGAATTACAGGCATATTTAAAAGGAAAGTTTAGACATTTGCATTTCATGAGATACTCAAGTCACATTCAAAAGATGCTCACAGCACAGAGGCTTCACTACCACAATTTGGCACTTTCAGCTAGAACAGTTTCTTACTGCAGATTTTCTCAGTGCTCACGTTACTGCAGCATCCATGAGCTGAAAGAACTGCTATCATACCTAGCTATGACGCTACGCTGGAATGCATATAAAGTGCTTCAGAAGCTGCTCTGGTTGTCGAGCATTCACGAGGGAATTAAAACAGCTCCCCCAACAACAAAGATCAGCCCTCCTACAATTCAGGAAGCACAGTACACAGACTTCCAAGGACTGAGGGTAGAGCATTTCTCTTCTGCTTACCAGCCACATATATAGCAAAACTTCTTGTTCCAAAGTCAGGATAAAAACACTACCAGGAACAATTTATGAATACGTATTTACACAAGATACTTTTCATTAGAATTACAGACTTCATAGGAAATCAAAGTAGACAAAGGAATATGTGCAATTTCGCAGAAGCGTTGAAAACATTCAAACTATAAATATCCTGATAGCACTAGTAAAATTCTTAGTTTTACACACAGGCTGATGTTATTCTACTGAGGAAAAACTAAGGTTTTGTGCCACAACTGTAAATTAAGTACAGTAATGTATTATCATTCCGGCAACATAGATAACACCTGCACTAAACAGTGCGATACTGTTAAATCAATCCACTGATCTATTGAAGATCAAAGTACAAATCTGTATTTTTATTGATTTGGCAGCGTTGCTTATGGAGAAATAAATGCACTAGTTAAACCAGTACATTGTCATACTGCTCCAGTTACAAAAACATCCAGGACTTTCATAGAGCTACAAACGTATCATACTTCATGATTTTCCCCCAAATGATGATATCCACGTGAAGTAAATAAGCAAAGATACTCAGGTTTGTATCCTTCATTCTGTTACACTGACAAACATACACCACCACTTAATAAATAGAAATGCAGCAGTTCATCCACATAATAGCAAATATTTTTGTACCCTAATCCACCACTGAAGTTCAGTTTGTACAAAACAGTCTTTTCTACAGTGGAAAAAAAATACCTTCTTCTCATCAAGGTGCAAGCTAAGCTTTGAAACTTAAATGAATGTGCTTTTATTCTTTTCATGGACAATAAAAGAGTTTCATGGACCTTCTGATCTATCTGAAAATGCATAAATTTGGTCACATATGGATGTCTTCATTGTTCAGGTTTAATGGACTATTTCAGTATCACTGACGTTGTGCTTTTACTCCTCTTGAACAATACCATTCCAAGAGTTATGGAGATCAAATTAACTCAAACGATGACCTCAGAGTTCTAGAAACGTAAGTGTCCTCATTGTAATACAAGACCAACCTAAAGGAAGAAGAAAAATACAGTATTTTAGTTCAAGCATGGCAATAAATCTAAACGTTATTAGTTTTCTGCACTTCAATTATGGATCTTAAATATGACCAATTAAGAAAGTTATTTTAAAACTTCTGCCCATTTTGGCCAGTGTAGATTAATGTACCATTATACCTAACAGAATTCAGAAGCTCTTTTTTTCTCCCTTACCTTTTCGGATTCCATGCCAGGACACCTCCAGTTGTACAAATAATACTGCAAATTTCCATCTCCAATCCCAAACTTGAGTTTTTCCAGGAATGTTTTGTTTTCCATTAAGTCTAGTGCATTGAACACATCAAATCCTTTCTGGCAATAGCAAAACATTTTTTAAATTTTACTTTTTAAAGTTTCAAATGACGCACAAATGATACTTTACACAGTGGCATACAATATCCAAGAGACTAGGCTAATTAAGTGGAAAAAAAGACAAGGGAATAAATCTTGCCTTTTAATTAGGTACACACACAAAGACATCTTCCCAATAAAAAGTGAAGTATAGGGCACATCTTTTCTTGAAGATTATCTCCAAAAGGGTAGGAATTTTAAAGCCACTTTCAGGGGTAAAGGTCTGAAGAGTCCCTAAAGCATTATCCATTATTTTAGCCTTATAGATACGCATTTTTTACAGCCACATACAGAGTTTTGACACACATGGCCTATTCCGGCTAAAGCTGCATAAATACAGCTTATGGTGTTTTTCAGCCATTTATCATTCTGTTAATGATAAACATTATATTTTTGTGATTGAGTCCTTTTCTGAAATGCCATTGTCTTTAGAACTCCAATCTTTCACGTTACTCTCCTTCCCCTACTCATGCATCCTCTACCAACTCCTCATCAACCTCCCAAATTCACCACTCAAAGAGCCATTTTGCTCTCAGAACAGCCACGTAGCTGAATTAGTCTCAGGGTTTTGCGCGGCAACACAAACATACTCAAATCCCAACTCGCTGTGAACTTTTAACAAGCAACATAAAAACAAGGTCAGTTAAGCCATTGCAGTGACAATCATCATGCATGAATAGCTGAATTTGCTTGGGGGTCTGGATAGAAAAGTCTGTTTATTTGCAATTAACTGCAAGGAAGTCTGACCTAAGATCCTGGAATGTTAACAGCACAAAGGCAGCACACCAGAAGAACTTTCTATATTCTAAAATAAAAATAAGTTACAAAACAATAATGCTCAGTTACTTAAGCACAAGAAGATGGTAAGGAACATTCTTTACTCAGTATCAAAACTAGATGTATTTTTTTTCTTTTAGATAAGCACTCCATATTAGGAAAAAGGGGGTTGAAGAACAAGAGCATTTTAAGCTCTCCATCAGTTTAGGGCTATGTAAAAGAAAGTCACAAAGCACAGACAGTGAGTTTAGTAAGGTTCCCCACTACCATGCACAAAGATTATTCTGCGTGCAGATGAAGCTATGCTAAGTTAAACGTGCTGTGAAAAACACACAGAAACAAGACAAATAAGGTGGGAAGGATTTGACACTTGGCACCTAAAGAAGTATATTTTGAAATATTCTAAGTTAGTAACAGACAGTAACAGAAATCTCAGAAGGCAGGAAGGGAAGCAGGGGAGAATAGAGACACACTGTAGGTACAGACACACTAATGAAGCTCTGCAATTAAGCACTCATAATTCAGATAAATGATAAAGTCTACAGATGTAGTTTTAGTTCAGCATCTAAACATTAGCAGATTAGGTTCAGGTTAACATCTTCTGAGAGGTATAAAAAAGTTCCTGTTCAAAGATATTTGCTCCACAGCTCTGCCAGACCATTAGAGCAGACTCAGAAGCTAGCTTCTTCCCTGCTTATAAGCTGTCTCCTGTTCCACATCTAGAAACTCAGTGTCAGCTTCAACAACAAAATGGGGGGATTATCCTGCTGCAAAATCCTACTCTCTCCATGCAGAATACATGGAACCATGCAGACCATCACTGGCTTCATACAGGATCAACACAGAAATCCCTATGCCACATGCAGTGCAGACGGCTCTGAACATGGTCGGCTGGAGCACAGCTAGCATTTGCTTGCATTGAGCACTCATCTGGTAGGTGTAATACCACAAGCAGTGCAGCAGCAATGCTTCAGCTAGGAGTGGCAAGCTTCAAGCATGAGGAGCAGAAAACATGCCTACGCTCTTCAACGTGTTGGGAATGGCTGCTAGAATGGATACCATGGACTGGATGAAGCCTGTGCAGTGCTGTGAATTGCCAGGGCTAAACAGGTCTCTGAGAATTCATTCAGAGTGCTGGGATGTGCAGTACCACACACTACATTGCCATTGGTGTTTGCATTGCACTCCCATGAAACCCTGATCATTAAGGGCTGAGCATTAGTTTTTCATCAGACAGCACTGAACTCTTAGAATTCTTATATTTAAAAACTGCATTTATAGTCTCTTCCCTTCCATTCAACTAAACCATCTATCAGTGTAATTCCATGCATGAAGGTGTGCTTAGAAGCTACATGACATCATCTACAGAGCTCTACAGGCAGCAATTAGTAACAAGATAACATGATAAAGCTTGCACAAATAAACTTTTACACTTTGTAGAAATAAAAAAAATACTTTAAACAAACAAACAAAATGTATTTAATAGAACTTATTAACTCATCTCCAAGGGAAACTATTTTAGTGATACTTTCCATTCTTCTGCTACTTAGTGAATATGGTCATCTGTGCTCTTGGATGTGTACACAGTTCAAGCTATTACAAACACTTCAGTTGTCATTCCCTAGTATCACTCAAAGTAAAAAGGAAAAACAAGCATAGTGTTTTATATTTTTATATATATATATAGTATATGTCTCATCAACTGCACTCTGTGCTGTAGACAGTAGAAGAAAACAGAATGCAATGGCATGGATAAATTGCTGCCAGTTCTTACCTTGACACCACTCCTAAGAATAGTTTTGTGAAAGAAGCAGGAAAAAAAAAACCCCACAACTTACCAATTTAGCTATAATGAGTGCATCATTCATTAAGTCCAAGAGGGGGGTCTCTGTATGAATATTGTAAAAGGAATAGGCAGCTTTGAGGCTTTTATGAACAGGATGGTGCATCACTGTTGAAGGTAATGTGTAGAAACTCAGGAAGTCTGTTAAAATACCATTTGAGCCCTACAAAAAAAGGAAAGAAGTCAATTAATAAGAAGTAACCTCTCAGTTACTGGTTAACATGGCAGTTCTATAGAAAGTAAGTAATAAATGCAGCAGTTTTGCACACCATAAGTATTATGGTATAACAGGTAATCTTGGCTAAGATTTGAAGAAATTGAATTCTTGTCAAGGATGTATCTATACATCAAAGCAAGACTGAAGCCTGAAATGGTCACTTCAGAAAAGGCAATAAACATTTAGATTTTTCTAGTCTATTACACCAATAACATTTTGACAACCAATTGCCAAAGCATTTCAGTTTGTTTCCCAAGCTTAGCCTGCTATAAACAAAGCTAACAAAGCACACTTCCAAAAAAAGTATAGAATTTTTTTTCCAATTTAACTTATTTTTAAAAGAGTATTTTTTAAATCTGATGAAGTTCACATTGAGGAATAATTTTCTCAACTTTCTAAAAACTGGAAAAGAATATACTGTGCTGATATACAAAGCATATTTAAATCAGCTCTAGTGATAATTAATAAACAAGCACAATACATTTGCTAGACAACAGTGCTAAATCACACTGAAATTCTAATAAGACCAGCAGTCATCAAAAAGGTACTTATACAGAAATCTAACGTATCCTACATAAACTTTCTTAATATTTCATGCCCCTAATAAAGTTTAACCATCTTCAAGAGTGTAGATTAGCAGGAAATGGGAACTAATTATTATATGGGTTATGACTGACATGCTGAGCACAAAAAAAACCTACCCAGATTTTCACTCCTATTCCGATCGGGTCTCCTGATATCTCCAAGAAGGTAAGGCAAAGGAGACACACAAATGCTTGTTCTTGCTTGTTTGCTTTATTTTTGAATGACTGGTGCCCACTATTTTGAGCTCAATGAAGGACCTCACATGGATCCTTAAATTGATAGTACTTCTACAGTAAGAAGTAAAAGAGTTGAACCCATCACATGCAAAAAAGCTATTGTCTTAGAACAGGTACAGATTCTGTAGTAGAGATAAACTAACAACAAATAACAGAAAAGTCACTCACTAAATTCAGTAAGGATGATGAAAATATTAACTCAGGAATTATACAGAGTATTTTAAGGTTTTAGCTCTGCCCATTACAAAGACGACTTAAAAATCTGCCACTAACTTCTCCAGGTCACTCAGGTCTTAAAAAGATTTTATGCACTGACAAATCTACATTTTGTATAGTCAAAAACTAGTTCAAGAGACAGTGTAAAGCAAGCAAGTGAAGACTGCGCTGTCCAGTTAAAATGGCACTGTCAGTGGCACACTCATGCTGATGCTGGTGCTTTGTGGACTCTTCTGTAGGCTTCAACTCACCAACAAAGCCAAAAACCAACCCAGGGAGTAGGGTTGAGAAAGAAGGAGGAACAATAAATTAAATTAGACCATGGAAGAGTCCACTGAGCACTAGACCCACTACAAAGTAAGTAGAAAGCTAAGCTTGGACAATGACAACCAATGAACAGGACCTCTCATCTCCAGCAGCAGTAAGTTTAAATTGAGCTGAGACTCCTGCACAGTGTGGGAACACCGAGCTTCACAACCTGCAGCTTCTGCCAGGAGCTGGTAGGTTTAAGGATGTTAGTGCTGATCATTTTCAAATAACCTTATCACTTTTGTTTAAAGTGATACACTATCTAAATATGATGTCTACAACTGATTTAGCATGGACTCAAAGGGAAGAGTGTATCTTTCTTCATGAGCTTTATCGCAGCTATTCCAGCCATGCCATGGAGATTTCCAATCTAAATGCTAAACTATTCTGACGCTGCTTATTTTGCGAGAAGCGTTGTGAGCAACAGGTTGGAGGGTGGGGGTGGTAGGGTGGGGAGAGAAGAGTAAGCGGTAGGAACAGATGATGCTCTCCATCTTGTTAGTGGACAAAGATTAGAATTTTCAAGATAATTAAACTCATGACAGCACCAAGAAATGTTAGCCTTTACTTCTCTACTTTAGAATCATAGAATCATAGAATCGTTTAGGTTGGAA